TGATTGATTTTTTCCTTTGCTATTGAGCATTCAGAGTTTTTAATATAGTCTGGGCACTAGTCTTTTACTGTATATGTAGTTTGCAGTTACTTTCCCTTTCAGTAGCTTGTCTTTTCAGCCTCTGAACTTGGCCTTTCCAGAGCAGAAGTTTCATTTTAATTAAATATGTCAGTTTTTTCCTTTTATGAATTTTGCTTTTGTTCTCATGTCAGAGAAGTCTTTGCCCACCTCAAAAACGTCTGAAGATAATGAACACAGCTTTAGATCAATTGAGGGAAGGAACTGTCAGAAGGAATAGATGATTAGGTGTTACATGTATGACAACAGTCTGGAACAAGGGATGAATTTGGGGAGGGGAAATGAAGGGAAAGAAAATGTGCAACAATGAAAAAAAAATTAAAAGGACCTGAATAATGGTCAGGGTATGATGGGCATAATTCAGTGTGGATTAAGTTTATAAAACAATATATGGATATGATTGTAAATAAAGGAAAGTATGAAAACTGATGCGTATGAATTTTTTTAAAAATGTGTTTCATTATTTTTGTGTGTGTACCGTCAAATAAAATCTGACTGGTTCAGGAGGAGATTATTTCTCCTTCTCCAGCAGAGCATCTGGTGGATTTGAACCACATACCTGTGGGATTGCAGTGCAGCTTCCTGCTGCTAGGCCACCAGAATTCTCTTGCATATGAATTTTTTATGCAAACTAATATGAAATGAAAAGTTTTTAAATACAAAAAAAACTTCCTTAATATTTTTTTCTGTTTAATCATTTGTATATTGTTAAATGTTTCACATATAAGTCTGGTTCATTTTGAGTTAATTTTTATATGAAGTATATGAAATAGGTCTTTTGTATAGTACTTTTTCTTTTTTTAAATTAATTTTAATGAAAGTTTACAGAGACTTAGGGTTTCTAGTCATTCATTGTTGCACTTTTCTCCCTACCCACCCTCTTCCCCTCCAATTCACTCTTCTCCTTGAAAAAAAAAGAAAAACTCTTTGTTATGCAGTCCCTCCTCCTTCAGTCCACACTACTATGCAGCCTTCACTCTGGACTTCCGTAATGACAAGAATACTCATTCATATGTCCCTTTTAAACAGTTCTCTCCCTCATCTGTTTCAGTGCATTATACATCATTGCTCCTATCCTTTTCTGTCTTCCCTCAATCCTGATGTCAGTACCGTTTTACAACAGTGGCCCTATGTAATATTTGTCCTATTGTGACTGAGATATTTCATTCAGCATAATGTCCTCTGGGGTCATCCGTTTTGCATAATACTTCATGTGTTCCTTGGTTTTCAATGCTGTGTTGTATTCCATTGTGTGAATATGCCACAGCTTCTCTATCCATTCGTTTGTTGATGGGCACTTAGGTTGTTTCCAACTCCTTGCTATTGTGAACAAAACTGCAAGAAACATGGGTGTGCATATATCTGCTTGGATGGCAGTTAATGGTTTCTTCAGGGTAAATTCCCAGTTGTGGAATTGTTGGGTCAAATGGTATCTCTATTTGCAACTTTTTGAGAAAGTACCGTACAGCCTTCCATAGTGGTTGCACCATTTTACACTCCCACCAACAGTGAATAACGGTTCCATTCCAAATGAAATTGGAGATTGCCTTTCCTATCTTGTTGAAGAATGGGATTGATAGCATTGCATTGAACGTGTAAATTGCCTTTGGTAATATTGTCATTTTCACAGTGTTGAGTCTTCTATCCATGAGCAAGGACTATTCTTCCACCTCTCCAGTTCTCTTTTTTTTTTTTTTGTTACAGGCATACCTCATTTTATTGTGTTCCACAGATAAGACATTTTTACTTTACAAATTGAAGGTCTGTGGCAAATATTCAACAGTACCATTTCTTTAACAGCATGTGTTTGCTTTGCATCTTGGTGTCACATTCTGTGATTTTCACAATGCAATTTTCATAATGTTACTATACACTTAACAGAATAGACAGACATAGCTTCTGTATGCACTGGAAAAGAAGAAAAAAACTTGTATAGTCCATTTTATTGTGATGTTCACTTTATGCAGTGATCTGGAATCTAACCCACAATATCTCTGAGTTATGTTTGTAAATACCAGCTTGGGCTCTTAGCATGTATCAGACTATATTATCTATCCTGACCTCCATTCCCAGCCTGAGTCTCCAGGGCAGGTCCTGAATACAATGGGGTTTTCCTTGGAAGCCTTTGAAGAAAATCCTTCTAGTTGTAGAAAATGTCCTAATTGTAGAAAATCCTTCAGTGCTGTTAAGTGAAAAGAGAAAGCTTTGGATTGAATCTCATCCAGTTCTCTGTCTGCATCCCAAATGTGTAAGAATCACTTATGTGTAAAGAGCACACCTCAATAGCAAGCCTATGTTAACATCTAACACTGCCTCCAAACGCCTCTTTTCTCTCAGATGTCACTGTATCTTTGGTTCCTGCCTCTCATTAATCTTCATTGCCGGAAGTGTTCCCATGACTCAATAGTTTTGGGAAAAGGAGGCACTAAGTCTGTTGGGAAGAATCCCCACACCCCTTCCCTCACTGCAGACGGTAGACACACTCAGTGTCAGAGTATGGGGGTAGGTTCAGCTGACACTTCTTTTCCAGAGCAGGTGGTACAAAACGGCCCCCCAGGTAGTGGCAGCGACCAGTAAACTGTGTTGCAGACTTTTTTGGGTGCTGTCAGCGAAATCAGCAAGTCTGGCTGGAGCCCTTCAGAGTTCCCGTCTCCACATCCCATCCTGAGGGAATGTCAACACTTGAAGTGGGTACAGTGACTCCTTTTAGAACTTTCAGGATACTCTGGAATGGCTCCTGAACATCACCCTTGAAGCTGAAGCCAAAGATGGCATCGACAACCAGCTCATACAGCTCATCAATCAGCATGGGCTCTAAAGGCATTTCACTCAGGAAAGGAATGTCCATTTTCTGACACAGGGTCACCAGAGCAGTGAAGAGTGGCTTGTTAGGCCTTTTGGGGTAGTAGATGGTTGGCTAGTAGCCAAAGAGTTTGAGGTGTCGAGCACAAACCAGCCCATCTCCCCCATTATTCCCAGGGCCACAGATGACCAGGACAGTTGGGGGGGCTCCTGGACATGGACATAGAAGGATATGCCTTGGCAATGGCTGTGGCACAGCTCAGGCCATCTAACTCCATGAGTTGGTCCACGCTGAACTGGTACTCGTTAAACAGCTCCTGGTCCATCGCCTGGGCCTCCTCCTGGCTCAGATACTTCACCGCTATGCGCGCCATTGGCCGTGGATCACCGTGCCCCCTCTCCCCGTGTGCAGCCGCTGCTGCCCCCACCAGGTGGGACCTAAGTGGCAGGTGCCAGCCCGGCCGATGACACGTGGCAGGCACGAGCCAGCAACCAGCAGCGCCCGCAGCCGCACAGCCAGCCTCCAGTTCTCTTTTTGTTTCTTGTAATAGTGTTTTATAATTTTCTTTAAACAGATCCTTTGTGCTTCTGTTGTATGGTGGATTTTTTACTGATTTATGCACAGCTGGTCTGGGACCATTTATTGAAAAAAGCTTTCTTGGCTGAGTTATTTTTTTATCTTTCTGTTACAAGAATTATTTAGGTATATTTGTGTGAATCTGTTTGAGTTCCACAGTGTGTTTGTTGGTTTGGGGTTGTTTTTTTTTATGTCGTCTTATGCATTCAGCTGCTAACAAGAAGGTTGATGATTTGAAAAACCAGCTGCTCTGTTTGAGAAGGATGAGACCACTTTTGGTGTGTTTTTTTTTTATTTTGTTTGTTTGTTTTTTTACTTATCCCGTCTTGTTTTAATGACAGTGCAAAATGAGGGGAAAAAAGCATATTGGTTTCCGTGAGTTTTGATGGGGGTGGGGGAATCATCAGTGAGAGACACATTTGTAAAGGTCTGTAATCTCAGAAACCTTTGGGGTATTTGTGCTTTGTCCTACAGGATCACTGTGAATCAGAATCTCCTTGTTGATGGTGGAGATTTTTAATACTTTGTTGCATTAATGTATTTCTGTCCTTCTGTCAGTACTATCTTCTCTTAATTAATCCAAACTCATTGCCACTGATTGAATTTAAAATCAAAATGACCTGATAGGCTAGAGCAGAACTGCTCAGAGGGTTTCCCAAGACTGTAAGTCTTGATTTATTCAGAGTCCCTCATCTTGTTGTTTTTTGGGTTTTGGTTTTGTTTTGTTTTGTTTTGTTTTAATGTGTGTACCATCAAATTGGATCTGATTGGTACAGGAGGTGATTGTTCTTCCTTCTTCAGCAGAGCATCTGGTGGATTTGAACCGCACACCTCTGGGATTGCAGTGCAGTTTCCTGCCACTAGGCCACCAGAGCTCGCCAGAGTCCCTCATTTTGTTTATCAACTGGCTGGTTCAGACTCCAGCCTTTTGGTAAGCAGCCTTATTTCCCAACCACAATACCGGTGAGGCTCTTTTGTCAGAATTAAATGTTTAAGTAAATGAGTCAAGTAGATTGACTGTACTTTAGTCTGAGAGATTAAGATACAGTGTTAAGTGAGCAGTATGTGTGTATGGTATGCTATCACTTGCATTAAAAACACACATACTCCACCAGATGCTCTGCTGGAGAAGGGGGGCAGTCTCCTGTACCAGTCAGATCCGATTTGATGGTACACACACACAAAATAATAATAATAAATAAATGAATAAATCAACATGGTTCTAATAGAGTAAGCAATGACTATCTCTTAAATAATATATAAGAGAGCTGGAAATGTCACCTTCGAGGGGGAATCAGGGCTACCTAAGGACAGAAGAGAGGAGAGTTTCCACTATATGTGCATATTGGTATCTTTTAAAACATTCATTATTATACTGACATTAAAGAAATATAATTAATATACATATATATCCTGCAATTTAAAATTATATACAGCTATGGGCATCCATAGCTTTTCTTCCTTTTTAATACTGATAGCTGTAAATATTATAAAAATGACATTTTCAGTCCTTTACGTTTCAATTATAAAAATTTTTTTGCAGGACATGTGTAGTCTTCCAGATTATGTGACGTTTAAGAGCTTCCCTGGAATCCCATTGCAGCACATCTTCATTGCCGCAGGAGATGACTTGCTAGACCTCATACAAGGCTTATTCTTATTTAATCCGTGTACTCGAATTACAGCCACACAGGTACTTTCTGTATACATGTCTTCCTGTATTAGGAAATGAAGGATAATCTTAATTGGAGTATTGATAGAATAAAATTTTCCTAACATTTTTTAGCATTTTTTGAATATTGATCATGTATTGGTTTAAGATACAACAAACTATCTTTTTTCTCAAGCTTTAGGCCACTATTCAAATTAGAATGAAACTGTGTTGTACACACAATTACAGGACAATTTATACTGCTTACCGAAAAATCCATTCCAGCTGGATTGACTTGGTACATAGTGACCCTATAGGATAGAGTAGTGTTGCTCCTGTAGAGTTTCCAGATGTATAAATCTCATGAAGACTGTGGATGGTGAATTTGAACCACTGACCTTGCAATTAGCAGTTGCGCTTGTAACCACAGCACCACCAGATTTCGTACCTAACAATACGTGTTTGCTCTTTTGGCAGGCCATGAGATGATATTCAGTGCTCTTCTTCAACATCGATTCTTCTGTCATCCTTAGTCATTGTCCACCTTTCAGATGCATACCAAGCAATAGAGAAACCAGGGATTGGATCAGGAAACCTTAGGTTTTACGCTGAAATCATTTGATCTTTAGTACTCTTAAGAGGTCCTTGACAACAGATTTTCCTAGTGCGACTTGTCTTTTGATTTCTTTTTATTTTTGTGTGAGTGTACTGTCAAATCAGATCTGACTGGTACAGGAGGAGATTGTCCCTTCTTTTCCCGGCAGAGCATCTGGTGGATTCGAACCATGTGCCTCTGGGATTTTAGTTGCAGCTCCTTGCCACTAGGCCACCAGAGCTCCCCGTCTTTTGAATTCTTGACTGCTAATACTAAGGGTATTTATGATTTGTTCACATTCCAATAAATGGTAATCCAACAGAATGTGGAAATTATCATACAGTAATATCTTTAATGTCACAGACAAGCAAAATCTTGCTGAAGATTATTCAGAATGGCTAGAGCAGTACATCGACAGAGAACTGCCAGAAATTCAAGTGGGATTTATTTAAAAGAGGCCACGGCACCAGGGATATCATTGCTGATGTCAGATGGATTTTTGCAGAAAGAAAATAAGAGAAATATGTCTATCTGTGTTTTTATTGACCATGCAAAGGCATTTGACTATGTGGATCACAACAAATCATGGCTAACATTGAAAAAAATAGGAATCCCAGAACAGTTCATTACACTCATGTAAAATCTGTACCTAGACCTAGAAGCTGTTGTGGGAGCAAGGGAACACTGTGTGAGTTAAAATCGAGAAAGGTGTGCATCAAGGATATATTCTTTGCCATACTTGCTCAGTCTGTAGGGAGCTCTGGCAACTTGGTGGTAAGGAGTTGTGCTGTCGATGCAAACGTAGACACTTTGAATCTGCCAGCTGTTCTGTAGAAGAAAGATAGGCATTCTCCTCCCTTAAGATTAGTTGCCTCTGAAAACTCATTGAAATGTCATTTAAGGATTGGTTCTGACTTAACAGTACACAAAAAATATTCAATCTCTATACTGAATAAATCATTCAAGAAGCTAGACTTTATGAAGAAGAATGTAGCATCAACATCGGAAGACTCATCAACAGGCTGCATTATGCAGCTGACACAACTTTGGGGAAAACTTGAAGCACTTGCTCTAGATTATCAAGGACTGCAGCCTTCAATAAAGATTGTCTTTCAACATCAAGAAAACAAAAGTCTCACCATAGAGCCAACAGGCAACATAATTATAAGACAAGAAAGCGATCAGATTTGTCAGCAGTTTAATCTTACCTGGATCCACAGTCTACACCCTTAGTATCAGCAGTCAAGAAATCCAAAGATGGTCTCATAAAGTTGAAATACACAGTAGCCTTGAACTGCAGTACTGTAGGATGCATGAGCAAAACCCTGAATGATCTAGGAAGCATCAAAAGAAGATAGTGCAACAGTGAATGAATGGAAATCCAAAATCTCTGTAAATGTTCATTAAAATTAATTAAAAAAAAAAGATAGAAGGAGTACACTGAGTCATTGTACCAAAAAGGATTGTCTGACATGGAATCATTGCAGGAAGTAGCATATAACCAGTAACCCAGAGTGATGATGACTATGCTAAGAAAGTTACCTACCTGACCAAGAGACTGCAGGGAATCTATATTTGTTCTCATTTCCAGAAAAGGTGATCCAACAGAATGTGGATATTACTGAACAATATCCTCAATAGCACATCCAAGTTAAATCTTACTGAAGATTTTTCAAAAATGGCTAGAACTCTACAAGAGGACTGCAAGAGATTCAGGCAGAATTTAAAATAGGCTGTGGCTAAAAGCAGGAAATACCAGAAGTATGCCTATTTGTGTATTATCAACTATGCAAAGACGTTTTAACTGTGTATATCATAATAAATTGTGGGTAATAAAAAGAATGGGAATCTCAGAAGACTTAATTGTGCTCATATGAAACCTATGCTTAGACAAAGAAGCTGCTGTCTGAACAGAGTAAGGGAACACTGCATGGTTTTAAAATCAAGAATGTGCATCAGGGCTGCATCCTTTCTCCATACCTGTTTGATCTCTATGCTGAGCAAATAATTCGAGAAGCTGAAGTTTTTTAATAATATGGCACTTATCAAGAGCCTACATTATGCCGATGACACAACCTTGCTTGTTGAAAGTGAGGAAGATATGAAGCACTTGGTACAAAAGATCAAAGACTATGGCCTTCAGTATGGATTACATCTTAGCAACAAGAAAACAAAAATCCTTATTACGAGGCCAATAGACAACATCATGATAGAGAAATTGTCAATGATTTCATCATTTGGATACACAATCAAAAGCTTTTGTACCAGCAATGAAGAAATCAGAAGATGTGTTTCAATGGGAATGTCTGTATTCAGGGACCTTTTCAAAGTGCTAAAAATGCAAGGATATCAGTATAATAACTAAAATGGCCAAGATCCAAGCCATGTCTTTGCAGTTACTTGCTGTGCATCTGAGAGTTGGACAGTGATAAAGATGACAGAAGAAGAATTGGTGCCTTTGACTGTGGTGCTGGTGAAAGCTCGGAATAGCCAATGGACTGCTAAAAGAATAAAGACACATGGCTTGGCGAGTATCCAGCCAGGATACCCCTTAGGGGGAAGGATGGTAAAACTTCATCTCACTTCTGATATTTTGTGAGGAGGAGCTAGTCCTTGGAAAAAGATAACATGTTCAGAAAAGTCAGCCTAGGAGGGAACCCTGACACAATTACTGTAATAGTGAGCTCTGGTATATCAGAGATGATGAACATAATACAGGAGGTAGGGCAGGGTTCAGAACTGTTGTTTAGAGGGTCCCTGTGAGTTATAGTAGGCTCCCAGCACCTAGCAACAAAAGGTTAATGGGAACTTTGGTGACCTAGTAAGGAGTTGGGCTGTCAACCCAAAGGTAGGTAGTTCACATCCACCAGAAGATCCATAGGAGAAAGAAGGCAATCTCTTCCCATGTATGGTATAGACTCTGAGACTGATGGAGTGTGAGCCATGAGTTGTTTGGAACTCAGTGGTACATATCAACTACATTTCATGATTAGGGTAAGCTGTTGAGTTATGGAAAACATAGAATGATATTTCTTCATCTTGTTAATGGCATTATCAGCCGATTTGAATATGTTAGATATTTATTTGTTGTAATCTACATACCCAAATACTTGAAATTATTTTTGTTTTGGAATTGGCCTGTTTGCCTAGAGTTATTAATGTTAGCAACAGTGTCAGATTTTACTTCATACTCCTAGTGACATAAACAACTTTACTTGGTTTTCTTTTGTTTTAAAAGGCATTGAAAACAAAATATTTTAGTAATCGGCCAGGGCCTACACCTGGGTGTCAGCTGCCAAGACCAAATTGTCCAGTGGAAGCTTTAAAAGAGCAGCCAAACCCAGCTGTGGCAACAAAACGGAAAAGAACAGAAGCCTTGGAGCAAGGTAATACCCTTGTGTAAGAAATGAAATGAAGCTCAGGATAGCCTGTACAATGCTTATAACTTATGGGGAGCTAAGAAAATGAGACGGCAAACCATTCTTTCTTTATAAATTTAAGCTGTATATAATAAATAGTAACTGGGGAAATGGGAGTTGGTGGATTGGAATCAGTTGAGACGGGCTTAGGACAGGGCAGGCTTCAGAACTGCTTTACATAGGGTCGCTCTGGGTCTCAGGTGACTCAGTGGCACAGAACAACAGTAAATAGAACATACTATTTTAACTATATTTGCTTGCAATGAGAATATTAAATCATGCTTTTAAAAAGGTTATAGACACTTTTGAACACATGGTAGGATCAAGAAACCTATCCTGTTCCTTTCATAAATTCCTATTTGGTACTTAGAATGCTTAGTATTTACCAAGTGCAATTGGGAAAAAATAGAATAGGTAGAGTTAGATTGCAGTGACAGGGGAACTGGGTTAAAACGGCTGTAAATGTAAAATGCAAATAAATATCTTTTTTTCTTCCCCTTAGGAGGATTACCCAAGAAACTAATTTTTTAAGTAAACGAAACAGTATTTTATGGCTGAGGAAATAATGGAAAAGGCAAGTAATGCAAAAATAGTGAACATTATATGTTGTAGAACTGAATTTGTAAATATTCTATACATGTAAAAATATATGAAATGGCATGTTATTTTTATTAAATGTATTTTAAAATGAATTCTGGTGTTCTGCTTATATTCAAGTACACAAGTGAAATAAGTTCTTTCTTCTGGAATAAATAATTGAAATGCATTAGAGAAATCCAAATAAGACTAATTAGCTTTTTTTTTTAAACTCGCTTTTCAGCCTTTTGGCGAAGATCAAATGAAGAGTAATTATCAATTATTTTAGAGAATGCTCTTATACAGCATGACACATAGAAAGAGAGGTTGTATTGAAAAGTATAGCAGAGTATTTACCTGGCATGAAGGTGGTTTGCCTAGAGTGAGGCCTTTCCAATGCACTCCGGATATGCTGACCCCTGTGATTTCCCCAAATGTGGAAAATGCAACTGCACAATTTATAGTAGTTAAATTTTTTTTTAAAGTATAAAGGAAATGATAGTGGTAGTAGTAGTAGTGATAATACACGTTTGCTGCAGAAGCTTCAATAAGGATTACATCTTAACATTAAGAAAACAAAAATCTTCACCTATGGGCCAAAAGACATCATTAGAGTTTGAGATAAGATTGAAATAGAATTTCATTTTACTTGGATCCACAGTCAACATCCTTGGTAACAGCAGCCAAGGAATCAAAAGACTTGTTGCATCCATAACATAAGCATCCTGAAAAACCTACAACCAGGAGAGGATAAAATAGATGAATGAAACTTTCTAAGAATAAAATCCCTATGCACATCAAAAATTTCTCCAACAAGGTAAAAAGGGAAGCCACAGACTGGGAAAAAGTATTTGGCAATGATATGTTTGATAAGGGACTTAAATCTAGAATTTATGAAATACTTGAGCACGACAGCAAGTTAGAGGTAAACAACCCAATTGAAAAATGGACACAGGATATGAACAGACACTTCACCAAAAAAGACATTCATATGGCAAACAAACACATGAAGAAATGTTCAAAATCCCTAGCTCTAAGAGAGATGCAAATCAAAACAACTATGAGATAACATCTCACCCCAGTCAGAATAGCAAAATTTAACAACAGCACACAACAAATGCTGGTGAGGTTGTGGAGAAGCTGGAACCCTTATTGACTGTTGATGGGAAATGTAAAATGGTGCAACCATTTTGGAAGACAGTATGGCATGTTCTCAAAAAGTTGCAAATAGAAATAGCATTTGACCCAGCAATTCCCTATTAGGAATATACCCTAAAGAAACCATAACTGCCAGCCAAGCAGATATATGCACACCCATGTTTATTACTGCTTTGTTCACAATAGCAAAGAGTTGGAAACACCCAAGTTCCCATCAACAAACGAATGGATAGAGAAGCTGTGGTATAATCACAAAATGGAATACTATGCTGCATTGAAAAACAATATGAAATACTATACAAAATGGGTGACCCTGGAGGACATTATGCTGAGTGATGTATCTCAGTCACAAAAAGACAAATACTACATAATGCCACTGTTAAAAAACAGGACTGATAATGGGGGCTAGGGGGAAACTAAAAGGGGATAAATACACAGCATTGAAACAGATGAGGGAAAGAACTATATAAAAGAATATATGATTATTGGGGAGGGGTGGGCAGGGAGAACAGTGCGGCAGTGAATGAATGGAAATTCAAAACCTCTGTAAATGTCTATTAAAATTAATAATATAAAAAAAAGAATATATGATGAGGTATTACTGGTATGACAAGAGTCTAGAATAAGAGCTGCATAAAAAAGTGATCTGGGTAGGCGTGGGGGACTGTATAACAAAGAAAGACCTTTTTTTCCCCAAAGAAAAAAGGGACCTGCAGGCCACAGGAAAATAAGCAACAGTGAACAGTTAGAAACTCAAGTTCTTACTAAACTTTCATTATATATATAAAAAAGAAAAACATGTTGCATTGAGAAAATCTGCTGTCAGGGACTCCTTCAAAGTGCTAAACAGCAACAGTGTCAGTTTAAAGACTAAAATGCACCTGATTTAAGCCATTTTCTTTGCAAGTGCTTGCCATGCATCTAAAAGTTAAACAGTGAATTAAGGATGACAGAAGAATTATTGATGCCTTTAAATTGTGATTTAATACTGATTATCCCATGGACCTGGATGTGCTCACCAAGTTGTGCCAAGATATCTTGAGAACAACCACTTGACCAACTGACTGGAAGAGATCTATATATTTGTTCCCATCCCAAAGAAGGGTGACCCAACAGAGTGTGGAAACTACAGAACAATCTCATTGATTTCACATGCAAGCAAGATTCTACTGAATATTATCCAAAAACAACTGGAACAACACGTCAGCAGAGAACTGCCAGAAGTCCAGGCTGGGTTTAGAAGGGGTCGTGGTACTAGGGATATTGTAGCTGATGTTAGATGGATTTTAGCTGAAAGCAGGGAATACCAGAGGAATGTATATCTGTGTTTCATTGACTATGCAAAGGCAATTGACTGTGTGGGTCATAACAAACTGTGGCTGACTCTGAGAAGAATGGGAATCCCAGAACACTTGATCGTGCTAATGTGAAACCTGTACCAAGAGGCAGTCATCAGAACAGAGCAAGGAAACACTGCATGGTTCAAAATTGGGAAGGGCGTACACCAGGGATGCATCCTATCTCCATACCTTTTCAACCTATATGCAGAACAGATTATCCGGGAGGCTGGGCTCTATGAGGAGAAATGTGGGGTCAAGATTGGTGGAAGATCTATCAACAGTCTGCATTATGCAGATGATACAGCCCTGCTTGCTGAAACTGAGGAGGACCTGAAGCACTTGCTGCAGAGTGTCAAGGACTGCAGCCTCCAATATGGATTGAGTCTCAGATTGAAGACAGATTCTCACCACTGGGCCAGTTGGCAGCATCAGGATGGATGGTGAAGAGATTGAGATTGTTCACAGCTTCAGTTTGCTTGGCTCCACAATCAACACTGTCAGCACCAACAGCCAGGAAATTAGAAGACGTATTCCCTTGGGAAAGTCTGCTGTTAGGGACCGCTCCAAAGTACTGAAAAGCAGTGGTGTCCACCCTCCCAAGGATGATGTCCTTCTCCAAGGACCAGTCTTTCCTTACAGCATGACCAAAGTATGTCAGATGAAGCCTCAGTATCCTTAACTACAAGGAGCAGCCTGGTTTAACCCTCTCCAGGATGAATCTTTGTTTTCTTGGCAGTCCATGGTACCCTCAATACTCTTCTTAGCACCACAGCTCAAAGGCATCAATTCTTCTATCCTCCCTAGTCATTGTCCAACTCTCTGATGCGTAACAAGTGATTGCAAAGACCATGGCCTGTATCAGACACAGCTTAGTCTCCAGAGAGACACCATTGCTCTTCAGTACTTTGAAGAGGTCCCTAACAGCAAGCAGACTTTCCCATCGTAAATCCACTTTAGGGTGTGGTATTTCCCTGGTCTGTCCCTCTGCCTGCCTGTCCCTCTCTCTGCTGACCAAGGAATCCCACCCAGGAGACCCCTTAATAAAGCTGCTTTAGTTTCCTTTCTTTCTCTGGTCCCATCCTTGAGTCCTTGGCCTTATGTCCAGTGTGAAGACCTAATAATAAGCTGTTGGGTCTTCCCTCCAAATACAAGACCAAGGACTGAAAAAAGGGACCAGAGAACAAGAAAACTTAAAAGCAGCTTTATATAGGGAGCTCCCAGGTGAAGGTCCTTGGTCTGGAAAGGCAGGCTGAGGAAGTCAAAATTAGGTTGTATTTGGGAGGGTTTTTCTAGCAGGCTCTTCAGGGACTTGGAAGGGTAGGGAGGGACATTCCACTGTGGTTTATGGTTCAGCCAGGTGGGTGAGGCCATCTCATTTTTTTTCTTATTCCTCCTGGCTTTTTTAGTGATAAGGAACCCTTATTTAGCGATAAGGGACTATGTATTTTTGTTCTGGCTACTTCCTACTGAATGGGGATGAAGATATGGGGCTTAGGGGCCCAAGTGACTTGGAGAATATAGATGTAGCTGGTTCACAGTTATGTTGGGTTTTTGTTTTTGGGTTGGTTGTTTTTTTTTTTTTTATCCTGTGAAGTAAGAATTTAAAAATGGCAGGGAGCAATTAGTAACAATATGCTCATGATTATTATTGGTCCTAGAACCCAGGTTAGAAATGGGTTCTCGAGCCAATTGGGGAAAAGGCTTGTGAGGATAAAAACTTACTGGAAAGTAGGTATGAGCACTAGGTAGGGGAGGAGCAGGCTGAGAGAGGAAGTCTACAGGGTCTGAAAAGGCAGAATCACCCATAGAGGATGAGGGAAGGAGTAAGGGAAGGGGATGATTTGCTAATAGGAGACTTAATCGGTGAGGAGATTTGGATTAAGAGAACCTGCACAGATTGGCAGGTCTTGCAGAGAGAGTGATGGGAGCATAAGTAAAAGAAAGCTTGGACATAGGGGATTTCTAGCCATTTCTGATTCTGTCAGTAGAAACTATTAAGATCTTGAAGGATACTAAAAGGTTCTGTTCTCAGGCCATTGAGAGTTGTTATCTAGCTAGTATTGCAGTCATGTCCAGTTACAGTAAAAGATTACTCTCTTAGGGTGGAAGTCCTCAGTCAGTCCCAGGTTTGAAAGGTTCAAGAGGAGGTAGCCCAAGGGACTGTTCCTTGGGGGCTTAGACATTTGGCTATCCATGGTGTTCAGGTCCATGGGTGAGGCAACCAAGATTTTAGGGCATCCCCTGGAAACTAGGAGTCTCAGATATAGAGAGAGGCTAAGGATGATGTGGGCAACCCCTAGAGCAATCAATAGCCTGGGAAGAAGCCCCTGTTGTTATGGGTAGACCTCCTGATGCAGATGTATGAATTTTCTATGTATGTGCAGAGAAGAGTCCAGTAACAGATGTGAATCCCAAGGGAGCCTAAAAATGCCTGGAAGCAAAGTGACTGTTCTAAACAGAGCCTGGGAAATTTTATGTGCAAATGGGCCTTTCTGAAGGAGAGAGCGAAGTCAGAAAAGAAGCCTGAGAGTGGAGAGAAAGAGGGAGGGGAGAAGGCAGAAGTCAGAAGAATAACAGCGACAGAGTTTTCATTGGGAGAAGGCGCCAGATAACTCACAGCAAGGACTCTTCCAGAATAGAGGTAGCAGGGACAGGAAGAAAGAGGAGTTCAGGGAGAGTGGACACTATTGATGACTGGACATAAACACAAAATGGACAGAAATAGACAACAGAGCATCTGTCCCCTCAGTTCATGCAGATGTCCCTCCAGCCATCCCCCTTGCAGGGTAAAGTGTGTCTTAGCATAGGTGTACCCATATAAGCCCCAGGCCTGGTTGGGATCCCTAGAGGATCTCCCAAAGTACCACTAAGCCAGATGACAACACCACAGAACCACTGGTGGGGACCCAAAGTCTGTGGCGTCAGAGTGGTGTCAGCTGTGGAATCTCTTCAAAAGCACTCATGGAGTTCAGTCAGACATATACACAGAATGGGAGAGGAAGGAAAGAGCTGTATGTTACCATTCGAGGTCTTGACACCATGTGGGTTGGTAAGTTCAAGAGAGTAAGGGCAGGAGCGCAGCATGCCTTAACTTATCTCCTGGGTCTTCGGCACCAGATGTTAGGCTTTTTACCAGATGTAAGGCCAAGGACTCAAGAAAGAGACCAGAAAACAAGAAAGCAAGCTTAAAAGCAGCTTTATTTAGGAAGCTCCCAGGTGAGGTTCCTTGGTCTGGAAAGGCAGGCTGAGGAAGCTGCAATTATGGTGTATTTGGGAGGGGTTTTATAGCAGGACTTTCAGGGAGGGGAAAGGGTAGAGAGGGACATTCCAAGGGTTGTTGCTCTTGTTATGTGCTGTCCAGTCGTTTGCGACTCATAGCGACCCTATGTACAACAGCCCTAAACCCTGCTCTATCCTGTGCCAATCGCATTGCCTCTGACACACCCATCCCAGTTACCCCAGTCACTGAATCAATCTCAATCTCTTCATAATCCTGATACTACCAATTGGTCCAGTGGTGAGAATCTTTGTCTTCTTGACATTGAGCCTCAGTCCATACTGAAGGCTGCAGTCCTTGACCCTCTGCAGCAAGCGCTTCAGGTCCTCCTCAGTTTCAGCAAGCAGGGTTGTGTCATCTGCATATCACAGATTGTTAATAGATCTTCCACCAATCCTGACGCCACACTTCTCCTCATAGAGCCCAGCCTCTCTGATAATCTGCTCTGCATACAGGTTGAAAAAGTATGGAGACAGGATACATCCCTGGTGTATACCCTTCCCTATTTTGAACCATGTGGTGTTACCCTGCTCTGTTCTTGGTCCATGTATAGGTTTTGCATTAGCACGATTAAATGTTCTGAGATTCCCATTCTCAGAGTCAGCCAGTTCTAAACCCATCCTGGACTTCTGGCAGTTCTCTGCTGATGTGCTGTTCCAGTCGTTTTTGGATAATCTTCAGTAGAATTTTGCTTGCATGTGAAATCAATGATATTGTTCTGTAGTCTCCGCACTCAGTTGGGTCACCCTTCTTTGGAATGGGAACAAATATAGATCTCTTGCAGTCAGTTGACCAAGTGGTTGTTCTCTAGATTTCTTGGCACAACTTGGTGAGCACATCCAGGGCAGCATCTGTTAGCTGCAATATGTCAACTGGTATACCATCTATTCCTGGGGCCTTATTTTTTGCTCTTTCCATCAAAGCAGCTTGAACTTCTTCCTTCATCACCATAGGCTCTTGCTCAAATGTTATTTCATTAAGTTCTTCTTTCATTAAATTAATTCCAAGGGTAGGGAGGGCCAATCCATTGTGGTTTATGGTTCAACCAGGTAGGTGAGGCTGTTGCATTCTTTTGATTTCGTATTCCTCCTGGCCTAAGAGTTACATACCACAAAGGCAGTTAATTGTAAGAGAGATTGCCCATTTTTTCTCCCATGGGACAGTTGGTAAACTCAAACTACCTGTCTTTGCATTTTCAGTGCAACTTCTTACCATTAGGCCACCTAAGCTCTCTATAAATTGTACAGGAGGAGACATGGAACATCTGGAGGATTAGAACTGCCCACCTTGAGGTTGAAAATACAACTCCTTATTCACTATGCTACTAGAACAGCGCAAAATTCTTGCTGGATTAAACATGAGCTTTTTAAAATTTTCAAAGCATTTTTGTTGTAAGATAATAAAATACATGCATCTTTTTTATTATATAGTTTGATTTTTTAAAAGTAATTGATGCTCTTAAAAATTTCAAATATAATTTTTTAAATTAATTTCCATCATGTGTTTACAGGGGCATTATGGGCTCAATTGTGTCAGAGATTGTGAGGTTGGGACAGGATAGGACTAGGTTCACACTATTGCAGGAAGATGAGGCCCAGGAGAGACACCACAGGAGTAAATCACCACAAATTATTTTTTAGTAAGAGGACGTTTTTATTGCTCTAGCGGGACCTCCAGGTGATACAATTCCAAAATGCATGGGTTCCCAGAACTGCTTTATTCCAAGTTTTAATAGGAAAAAGATAAAGAAGCAATTCTGCTACTCTCTCATTGCTGATTTTAAAGCATTAGCTTTATCTTCTCAGTTTCAGGGGTACATACCTTGGCTTTCAAGATAAGGGAATACTTCTACAAGGTCACAGCTTCTCTAGCCAGCAGTAAAAGAAACATTTTCACAGAATTAAAGCCTTCCTGGCTTTTCAAATAAGGAAGCACTTGCAGAGTCTCTCCTCTCCCTCCCTAGGAGATCATTCTTACTGAACCTCTTCTTTCCCTCTCCTCTTCTTTCTTCCTCTCACAAAATCTGTTGTTTATGTCAAGTGCAGTGGTACTATCAGGAAAATATATTTTAATATCTAGTAGAAATTGTTATTCATCATTCTTCCTTTTTTAAAAAGTGTTAAGCTTTCAGCATTTCATAACATCAACAAAAATATGGTCCCATTAACACAACTTTACTAACATATTTAAGGTGCTCTCACTATCTTATTTCACATTTCATAAGTACATAAAGTTTTATAACTGCTGACAATACAATGGATCTCTTTTGACCTACAAGACTATTAGCATAGCAATAGTCTTTAAAGTTATTAAAGATTATTACCAATGTAAAATTTGTAGCAAAAATAAAAGTGACCTACCAGATGCTATGCTGAAGAAGGAGGAACAATCAATCGCCTCCTGTACCAGTCAGATCCAATTTGACGGTACACACATTAAAAAAAAAAACAATTAAAAAAAAAAAAAGTGACCTAAATTTCATTATTTAAACTAAGTGGTTCAAATTTGTCCAAATGCCAAAATTCTATGCAGATCTAATTACAAAATATCACCATTCTAACAGAAAAGTTTAAAAGGTAACCAAAAAGTAACTTTGAATAAACTTTTGCCTAAGTCCCATCATTATAACTTTTTAAAATTAAAGTTTAAGATAACTTATTTGTATGCTTTACATGGTAAATTAAAAAATGGTGGAAAAGGACAAATAAAACAAGATAAATATATGTCAGAAGTTCCTATCAGTCATTCTTAGCACTAAGAAACAGGAATTCTTATACATTATTGCTTTAAAAAAATGAATATCCCTATAGTCAACCTAAATAGTTAAATAACTTTTCGGCATTTTTTCCCCTCATTTTTAAATGTTCTAGCAAATTTAAAAGTTCACAAAATACTGATATAACAAAAAAAATTATGTCAACACATTTTTAACAATTTTTTGTAGAATATGTTCCCTTAATTTTGATGATTTAAGCTGCCTCCTGAAATTTAGAAGTACTTGAAAAACACACAACTTCTCAAGATGTAGCTCAATCAGAATGTGAAACCTGATGGCAAAGAATGAGATTTTTTAAGAGTCCTCATGTAGTTTTGATGTGTTGGAGGGTGCTGGATTGAGCAAGTGCTGGTCACAGAACAAACAGCCAGTTCTGAAGTTTTGTGCCTGAAGCTTTTTAGTGGAAGCTTCTCTTTCATGGGATGTTTTTCTCTGTTCTGTTTTAAAGCACTGTCTTTGTCTTCCAGGGCCCGAGCAAGCATGTAGCTAACTTTCCTTTGATGAGCCAAAGCTGCTTCTTTATCATTCAGCTGCATGCAGAAATTTTAAATATACAAGTTAGTCAGTTAGGGGAGAGTCCGTTATATACATTTTTCAGAATCTTTAACCCTGCACAGAGAGAGCACGGATAGGAAGAGAGAGATAAGGGTTTTTCTGAGTTTAAGGAGCTAAAGATAATTGGAAGATGAGATTTCACTTGAATCACAAAAAATAGAGCAAGGAGTAAGGGGTGCGGTTTGGGGAGGTGCCTGGGGGATTGTGTACCAATGAGGGAGTTTTTCTTTCGCTTTTCAAGGAGAGGAGCAAATGGGGGGGAGGGGTTTGTGCGGGGAGAAGGGTGCAACAATGAATGAATGGAATCTCAAAATCTCTGTAGAAAAAGAACCTAAATTAAAAAAAAAAAATAGAGCAAGGAAGAGTTGAGTTAATAGGAAATGGATTCGTTTACCCACACCACTAGTAACACTAACCAAATCTATTAAGATCTTAAAGACTTCTTGAGGATCGTCCTGGTCTTCAGTCCTCTTCCAGCTGTTTTCTGAAGGGAGCATACTCAACAGTTTCTGCCCTAAAGTCTTCTTATTCCTTTGTGGTAGAAGACCTGAAATTGAATAGGAGAAAATTGAAGATTTAGCTGAGACACAAAAACACAAGACTGATATATTCCAGTAAAATCGGTAACTACAAACAAAAGTTACTTAATTTGCAAATCAGGAGAGAGTTCTGTTCTTCAGGAGACCTCTAGGACAGCTGAGTCAGGCAGCCGAATGTAGTGGGAGTGACACACTGTTTCAGAGCCAGGACTGGAAGCACAGGGCAGAGGGCCACTGGGTGCTGCCTTGCCTGAAAGGCGCAGTGGTTTCATCAGATAATGCAGTCCCTGCCCTGGAGGGAGCTCTAGTGAGTAAGGAGTCATGCTGCCAACCCAAAGGCAAGCAGTTCAAATCCACCAGTTGCTCCAAGAGAGAAAAATGGGCAGTCTCCTCCTGTGTGATTCAGAGCCTCAGAAGACCTGCTTGAGGGTTAGCTATGTCAAGTTCTGACTTAATGGTGAGTTTTGAGTTCATTATGAGACAACTAGAATATTTTTTAAAATTTAATTTTATTATTTTGTGTGTGTGTGTGTGTGTGTGTACCGTCAAATCAGATCTGACTGGTACAGGAAGAGATTCCCCCTCCTTTTCCAGCAAAGCATCTGGTGGATTCAAACCATGTTCCTCTGGGATTGCAGTGCAGCTTCTTGCTGCTAGGCCACCAGAGCTCCCTACAACTAGAGTCTTGAAGAAAGCCATAAATTCAGACTTTATCCTGAGGGGACAGCATAAACCCCATTTTTTTTTAAAAAAACCATTAATACCAGAAGCAGAAGTGGGCCATAAAAATTCTTAGCTTAAGGCAAACACAAATGCCCCAGGTAAAGTCTTATCTGTCCTTGCATAGTAAAGAGTTAACTAGTGTCTATGTGACACAAAAAGAGTAAAGGCTGGCAAAGTAGCCAGCCCATCAAAAGCCGATCCACATGACTGATCCCTCGGCCCACCAACCATGCTCTCAATCTCCCCACCCCGACAGTAGCACTCAGGAAGGCCTTAAAAATTATTTCGCAGGGGAACTCGGGGCTTTTCCCCTCCCACCTTCCTACTGAGGGAGAAAGTCTCCACATGTGGAATTTAATAAACGTTCTTGAATTTTCATACATGTGATGATTGGATTTCCTTTGAGGGGCATTTTGTGGGCAGAACATTCTGAACTTTCCTGATTTTAAAGGTCAGTTACTAATCCACATTACTTTGAACACTATGTGTTTCTTCACATAGTGAAGACCTAGAGTTCTGTCTTCTGAAGAAAATTTAAAGTATGTTTTCAGGCTGCTCAAAGCCTCAGAGCCCTGCAATATCTGCTTTAGAGCTAGAAAGACTTGGATTGAAATCCTCATTTAGTCATTCACTAGCTGTATGGCATTCTCTGAATTTCCTTTTTCCTCACTGCTGCAATGGGAATAACATCATTTATTCTTCAATGTTACTATGACATAAATATAATAAAGCTTGTGGTAGTATCTAGAACAGACAGACACTAGTGTAATGTTTAATACTTCACTTCCTGCAATATGTAGACTGATGTCCTTCAACCCCAGAAAGGAAAGAAAATGTCAAGAGTATGTCTTTGGATGCTTTGCCATCTACTCCCATGCAATTTACTGTCTCTGAAAACCCACTGGAGGGTCCAGTATGGGTCAGTTCTGACTCTGGCACACAGCAACAGCAACAACAAGGGGAAACACAATAGATGCAGGACTGCTGCACGCCCTCCCTGCCTGGTCCCACTATGACTGGGATGCAGTGCACTTCACCCATTTTGTGTGATCCCTGCCTGGTCCCACTATGACTGGGATGCAGTGCACTTCACCCATTTTGTGTGAAACTGTAGCAAAGTAGAAAAACCACACAAGTTGGACACACTCATCAACTCTAATGGGTGGATTCTGTGCCTTCAGTCTGAAATATAAAAACCAAAAGAAAGGTGTTTATAACCTCTCTAAGAACTTGTCTAATAAAAGTTACTACTGTACAACCACTATGGAATGCTGTATGGTGCTTTCTCAAAAAGTTGCAAACAGAGATACTATTTGATCCAGCAATTCCACTACTGGGAATATACCCTAAAGAAACCGTAACTGCCACCCAAGCAGATATATGCACATGCATATTTATTGTGGCTTTGTTCGCAATAGGAAAGAGCTGGAAACAACCCAAGTACCCATCAACATAAAAATGTATAGAGACCACAAAAAATTTAAAAAAATGTATAGAGATGCTGTGGTATATTCACACAATTGAATACTATGCAGCATTGAAAAACAAGGAACTCATGAAATACTATGCAAAATTGATGACCTTGGAAGACATTATGCTGAGTGAAATATCTCAGCCACAAAAGGACAAATACTACATAGGGCCATTGTAAAACGGGACTGACATCAGGGTTAAGAAAAGACAGAAAGTGAGGGGAGGAATGGGTGCACATTGCATTTAAACAGATGAGGGAGAGAACTGTTTAAAAGGGATATATGAATGGGTATTTTTGTCATTACCGAAGTCCAGAGTGAAGACTGCATAGTGGAGTGGACTTGGGGGGAGGGATTGCATAACAATGAAAGGGTTTTCTTTCTTTTCAAGGAGAAGAGTGAATTGGGGGGGAGGGGTTGGATAGGGAGAAAAGTGCAACAATGAATGACTGGAAACCCTAAGTCTCTGTAAACTTTCATTAAAATTATTTTAAAAAAGCACAGGGGGGGGAAAAAAAGGTAAAACTGTAGTAGCCATGTGGAACAATCATACTGCATTTCTATATATTATTGAAATATACTAATAATAGCACTCAGTCTTATTACTAAGACATCCTGGAAGAGCTGCTGAAAACTTGTATAGTCTAAGCTTTTTGGAGATGAGATGACCTGGTTATTTGAAAGGTTGTTTCCTGTCTCACTTCCTCACCATGATGTACAGATTTCATTCTCAGAGCCATATTTTCTATGGAAAATTCCTGAAGTTTGTCAATTACCCATAAAGATTCTAGAATATGTCTGTACTTACATAGGTGCTGAAGTAAATCTACCTCTTAAGAAAAAACCAGCTTTGTCTATACAGTAGTCTTTATGGCCTATTGAGAGCTTTCTCATATAGATGACAGGCAGCCCCACCCCCATCACTGTTTTTCTGCATATAAATAAAGAATTAAAACCTTATTCCCAAGGGATATGCCTTCAATTAGTAATACAATGTGAAGGCTCCCCTAGGTGGTACAAACAATGGATCAATGGTGGGAAGTCTGGAGGTGTGAAGCTACCCAGAGGCATCTCAAAAAGCAAAACTGGCAGTGTGCTTCTGAAAGGTCACAGCCTTGAAAACCATGGAGCCATCCTAATCTGCACAGAGGGGATCACCACAAATCAGAATCAACAGACAGCAGCTAACAACAAGAACAAATGCACATGGAAAAGTCCACAGAGCATTATGCAGAGTGAAATAACTCAGGAACATAAAGACAAATACTGCATAAGACTACTATTGTGAAAATAGGAGGCTAACTGAGCAAGATGTGTACAGATGTTCAAAAGAGGAAAGGAAAGGGGGAAGTAGACAAGTGAAGAGGGAAAAGACCTAAGACACTAGAGGTTAGTGGGCAGAAGAGAGGGTGAAGGAATAGGAAAGATTCAATGGTGCTTGAAAAGACAGGCTAATGATAGGCATAGAACAATTGTTGCTGTGAAATCACCTGCAACTCATAGTGATACTATGTACAACAGCTCTGAAGCCTGTCCTGAGTCAGTCTTGTTGGCTTTGACACACCAATCCCCATTTCCCCAGTTACTGTATCAATCCATCTCATTCAGGATCTTCCTCTCCTGCACTGTCCCTCCACCCTTTTGAGCATGAGATCCTTCTCCAAGGACTGGTCCTTCCTGGCCATGTAAATATCTCTTCCAGAATCATAGATATCAATAGATAGAGACACATTTAATGTTAGATGTTGCCATCATTTTCAACATTATTCCTTTCTTGGCCATTTTGCGTCAATCATTTGTTGTTATGTACATCGAGTCAGAACTGACTCATAACAGAGCAGCTTATTAGATTCAAACTCCTTGCCTTTGAGTTGACAGCTTGCTCCTTGGGCCACCAAACTCCTGCCTCAGTTATCTAGTGCTCTTAAACATTTTGTCCCTGGTCTTTTTAATTTGCTTCTCTTTATTTTTCAAACCTTAAACCTGACCTTAATGAGCCCCTGGGTGAAACAACTAGTTAAGCACCCAACAACCAACCAAAAGGCTTGGGGTTCAAATCAGATTAGAAGGTAGTTTGCACAATCTGCTTCTGAAAGGGCACAGCCTTGTGAAACTCTGCAGAGCAGTTCTACTCCACACACATGGGGTTGCAGTGAATTGCGGTGACTTGATGGCACTAACAACCACCAGCACAACAAACCTGGTGGTACTGAAATGACACGTAGAATACTAGTGTAGAGCCTTCCTGTTATTTTATGGTTCTATCGATCCCCACAGCTCTTCTGCATTTGTAACATTCAATGTCATTTTCTCTCCAGTTACTAAAATTTTTAATAACTCACATCCTTATGTGAATTACTTTAGCTTTATTATTCCACATGAGTCAAATCAATATAATTAACGTTCTTTACAATCAAAACCAACCAGAAGTATACCTGATTATTAATTGCCATTATAATGCATAGTTACCATCCTCTTTAAGGTGTTTCCAATTTATCTGCTTTGTGGCTTTTTTACACATATTATCCATTTGTGTCAGTCTTAGTGCCTGATCACTTTTCCTCATTAACTGTTGCTCAAATGCAATTCTGAATGCATCTGCCATTATGTAAGCTTCTTCTTTACTCTTCTGCAAAAGCTCCAACTGTTTGTGAAAGAAAGTTGGGGATAAATCAGAGGCAAAACCAGAACAATTGGTATCTAAATGCTGAGCTAGACTAGTAGGCTCCCTGCTTCTGGGCACACTGGATGCCTCACACAGCCCCGCTGCTGGCTTTTGATCCATTTCCTAGTTTAGATTAATCAGCACTTGCCTGTTCTCTTCTGCGGTCACTGAATACTCTGATCTGGATCACCTGCAGCTGCCCCTGTGTGCCTTTCAATTCCTAACTCTTGAGCTTCACGACTCTGGACTTGCCCTGTTTGTGTAAGCCGGCTATATCCAGCAAGGAGGGGCCAGTGAGAAAGGAGAGAGGATAGCAAAGGCTTTATTTCCATTTCCCCCTTTTCCATTCCAGGCAATAATAAATGAAAATAATTGTGGATCTCTCATTGCCAACAACTTGGCATGGACTCATAGTTGACCTTCTGTTGGGCTTCTGAGGTCATGAACCGCATGGGAGGAGATTGTCCATCTTTCTTTTATGCAGCCAATAGAGGATTCAGACCCTCAGACAGGTGTGGCCTTGGGTTAGCAGCACACCTCCTTGCCTCCATCTGTGACTATGTCCCATACTAGACTCTGACTCTGCTTATAACCAATGACTTGCTAGTGTTTGGCTGTTAGTTTTCTCTACACTTGGAAGAATTTAATTCAGATTCTCTATCATCAGTGAAATGTTTCAGAATCACAGCCCATGTACCAGATTTGTAATTTAAGCCCAGTTATGCAGCTGCTATGGTTCAAATCCACCAGCGGGTCTTTGGGAGAAAAGTGGGCAGTCTCCCTCCATGTGATTTATGACCTGACAGAAATCTGCTGACTAGTCATCTATGAGTATTTTCTTACTCAATGGTAATGAGAAATAATTTAGTCAGATGCTTGACATGTGCATGGTGCGATGCTAAACATATGTCCATTTCTTCTATTACCTCTAATAGTTTCCCAAAGTTTATCTTATGAGAAAATGAAGACTTAATCTGTATTCAGTCACAAAGCTAGGGAATGATGGTTATGAGTCAGACTTACGTTTGTGTTGCTCAAAGTTCTCTCCCCACACCTTGCGGCCTTTCTGAAAAGTTTATCTTTCCATTAATCAATGTTGCTTACCTAGGCTATTTTAAGAAACATAAATATGCTTTTTCCTTCTTCTGTTAATTAGTAATTTTAGGGTGGTTTAGTGGCTCCTCAGGAGCTAAGATGATGACATTTCACCTCACCTACTTCGGACATGTTGCTAGGAGAGGCTATTCCTTGGAAAGGGACATCATACTTGGGAAGGCAGAGGGGTAGTGAAGGAGAGGAAGACCCTCAACCAGGTGGATTGACACAGTGACTGCAGCAATGGGCTCGAGTCTGTCAGAGATTGTGAGGATGACACAGGATAGGACAGGGTCCAGAACTGTTCTTCATAGGGTTGCTGTGAGTCATACTCAACTCGACAGCACCTAACAACAACAACAACAGTGGTTAAGGAGTTGTGCTGCCATTTAAATGGCAGGTGGTTTGAATCACCAGCTGCTCACGGGGAAAAAGGTGAGCAATCTCCTCCTGTGTGTTTTACAGCCTCTGAAAACCTGATGGAGGCTCAGTCATGAGTCAGCTCCAACTGGACAAAAATGAGTTGTTTGTGTAGTTGATAATTCACCTAAACCCAATCTACTGTCACCAAGTCGATTCTGGCTTGTAGTGACCCTCCTTTGGGTTTCTGAGTCTAGAAATCTTTATAAAAGGGGACTACTCATCTTCCTTTCGTAGATCGGCTGGTGCATTCAAACCACTGACCTTTCAGTCATGTTATGCAACATACAACTAGAGCTCTTTATACACTCAAAACCCTCAAACTCACTGCTGTTGAACTGGCTCCAATTCAAAGCAAACCGCCACTGGGTTTATGAGGCTGTAAATATCAATGGAAGGAGACTGCCCATCTTTCTCCCAAGGAGTCACCTGTGTATTCAAACCAGCAGAGACATGCAGCCCTTGGAGCACACCACCTGAGCTCCCCAGGGCCATGTACAGATAAGAGAAATATAGATTCAGAAGATGCAAACTAAGCAACTGTGCCTGGCTTCAGATATTATGTCAACTACTACATGTACTTTGAAATGATGGAAACAAAATCTAGTTTATAAGTTAGTTCTTTCTGTTATACAAAACTAACCATAAATTCCAAGGGCAATCAATGAATGCCAAGCTGAAGTTAAATTATGAAGATACTTATGTTTATTCTACTATTAATAAAGAACAACCAAAGCTTTTGCTTTTATGATCACACACTACCTCTTGTTTGAGCTGAAGCAGCTGCTGGCGAGCAGATGCTGCCACTTTGGCACAGGAGCAGGGGGTCCCTCCAGGTCCGTGACAAAGGCAGGCTCCAAGAACTGCAAGCTTTTAAATCCAAAATAGCATTCTGTCACTGCTCTAGTGCACAAAACATTAAGGCACTCCCCTCCCCCTGAGCACTACTACTAAAAAATCCAATTCAAAGAAAACTGGGAAGAGGAAGAAAATAGGAGACAGTAACCTGAGGGCAGGATTTAAAGTTAGTCACAAATGAAGAAAGGCTTGTTTTACTTGGAACAAAACACATAAAAGAATCCTTCTCTTCAAAACAACTATGATATATCATCTCACCCCAGTAAAAATAGCAAAATTTAACAGAACAGCAAGCAACAAATGCTGGTGAGGTTGTGGAGAAACTGGGTATTCACTGTTGGTGGGAGTGTAAAATGGTGCAACCACTGTGGAAGGCGGTATGGCACTTCCTCAAAAAGTTGCAAATAGAGATACCATTTGACCCAGCAATTTCACTACTGGGAATATACCCCAAAGAGACCATAACTGACATCCAAGCAGATATATGCACACCCATGTTTATCGTGGCTTTGTTCACAATAGCAAGGAGTTGGAAACAACCTACGTGCCCATCAACAAATGAATGGATAAAGAAGCTGTGGTATATTCACACAATGGAATACTATGCTTCATTGAAAAACACAGAACTCATGCAATATTATTCAAAATGGGTGACCCTGGAGGACATTATGCTGAGTGAAGTATCTCTGTCACAAAAGGACAAATACTGCATGGTGCTACTGTTGTGAAACAGGACTGACATCGGGGTTGGGGGGAGACTGAGAAAGATGGGTTCAATAATGTATACTGCATTGAAACAGATGAGGGAGAAAACTGTTTAGGAGGAATATGTGATTAGATATTTTTGTCAGGATAAGAGTCCAGAGCAAAGGCTGTACAGTGGAGTGGACTTGGGGGGAGGGATTGTAAAACAATGAAAGACTTTTTCTTTTACTTTTCCAAGAGGGTAGTGAACTAGCTGGGAGGTTGGGGCGGGGAGAAAAGTGCAACAATGAATGCATGGAAATCCAAAGTCTCTGTAAATTTTCATTGAAATTAATAATAAATTTAAAAAAAGAAAAAAAGAATCATTCTCTCCTAGTTATGCGTCCTTTTTAAAAACTTTTAAAATTCTTTTTCTTATTTATTTTTATTGT